GGAGCAAGGGAAGAGCTGTTAACCGAAACTCTGACAAAATAAGTCAAGGAAGACCAATGCCATTTAACATATATTTATTGAAATCTACTTGATGCAAGGCACTGTGCTAGATCTGGTAGGGGAATCAGACATGAAGGGTCACCCCTGTCTTATAAGAGCTCACAATCTAACAGGTGGGAAAGGGTGGGGAGGGCGAAGCTCTAGTGCAAGGCTGATTATAGTAAGTGCCATAAAACAGACAAGTTAAGGAGATCAGGGAGGGATGAGAAAAAAGCGCCAACAAATGAACCGTGGACTGGGGCGGACACAGCTACTCTTCTTAGATATGCAAATAACATTAAAGGCCAAGTTAAAAGAGACCATTTCTAGTTTCCAAAGTAAACAGCTAAACTGATACCATGAGGAGAAGTACAGAATGTAAGTATACTAGTAATAGAGAAATTCTCAATTCCCCAATCTCACAGATTTTCTGGAAGTAGCGAGACACTTCCAAAATAAAGAACAGGGTGGGTGTTGACTTAACTCATTTCATGGGGCACACATGGGATCCGTACAGGAACACTCGGACAGAGGCATTGGTCAAACTCATTGAGACTAAAAGGCATAGGTTTTCCCCATCTGAGTGAACAGAGTACCACATTTAAACAGGTGTCTACAACAGTCAGGTGGGACTCGGGCCACGAACTCGAGTCGGGTAGAACATGAGGGAAACCAGCCATGTGATTCTTCTCAGGAAGCAGCCAACTGGTAAAAGGCAATTGACTCTTGACAGATTGCAAAAAGCAGAGACCCAATCAGGCTGGCTCAGGTCAAGGGAGTCTCTGGTGGGGACACAAATGAACTGGTGAGGGCAGTTGCCAGAAATCCAAGAACATGATGGGGCGTGGACTGCCTCAGGGAGATAGCTCTGGAGTGCTTAGCAGGATCTTCAAGCTGGTGCCACCTATCGGGTCAACTCCCCTAAATGCTGTGTGGCTCCCTCTTCTTTCCAATACCAACGAGAAGATTCTCTCTCGTTTTTCTTGTTTGCACTTCACAGAGAACCCGAAAGGCCCAGCCTGTCGTTGCCAGCCAGCTCTGATGACCAGGTGCTGCCCTTGAGTCAAGTGTTCAGTTCTGGTTTGATTAGTGTGGCCTGGAAGGGGAGTGAGGGTCACAGGGCACACAACAGGGCTGAAGCCCAGAGCACGTGGAATGCCAACACTGTGAGACAAAGGTACCCTCTGTGACTGGGTGGGGCTCATTCTGGAAATGCAGAAGTGGGTAAGACACAACTAATCAACACAGTTAATCTTAATAAGCAGCAAAAATGGTAAACAGGAACTTTCATTTAAAAATTTCAGCAAGTATTCAAAACTTTAATAAAAGCAATGGAAGGTTTCTTTCAGAATATAAGAAAAGGATATATTTCTAATGCGAGTCGGCATTCTATGTAACCCAACTGCTCTTCATTTCCCTTGCAAAAGAAATACGGGTGATTAGAAAGAAAAAATGAAATGAGGTAGATACACAAATGCATAGACGAGCCCACACAATAGGAAGCTTGATCACATTTTGCATCTGATGTAGCAGTATACCTACAGAAGCCAAGGAAATCCACCCCCAAGTTACCAGAGGCAAAAACTGAACTTGGCACAACTACAGGACACACGTTAAAGCCACAGACTGCTTGCGCCGGAGAGAGCACAGACTTCACCCGCAAACACAGTGACAGAGAAGATGCGGTCTTTAGTGTTAACTCTAGAAGAGGGTTTGGGAGAAAATTATAGAACGGGGAATGGAAGAAAGTCAAGGAGGGCAGGACAGGCGGCCAGGATGCCAAGATGCCGTGTCCTGGCTTGGGAGAGAGGGAGCAGTGACGACAACGCTAGGTTCTGAGTTAATACTGTATCTGGATCCTTCATAAAACCTGACATATGGCTAGCGAACAAGCAAGAAATGGCAGAGCGCTCCCAGTGAAAGCTGCCAGACTTGCCCCCCGTGAATGTCAAATTCTTTCCCGAATGACAGTGGTGTCAAACACGTCCTGACAGCTTGAAAAGAGAAAACTGATGCCGAAGGAAGCGGTGATGGCAGACACAGTTTCACAACTACTGCGAGAACTGAAGCCCACAGAGCAAAAGGAGTTGCTATGTAACAGGTGCTGTTGGCTTCTCTCCAGCCTGAGGGTCAGGCTGGGGACGTCACAGAGAGCCACCGTTGTGGCCCAGGGGGCCATTCCAGAGGACCTTCTGGCTAAGGTCACAGGGGTCGCCATGGGACCCTGCTTCCCAGGATGGGGGCCTGAGGAGCTCTTCCAGATGTGCCTGCCAGGAAGCTCGGCCTCAGCCTTGGCGGGCCCCTCAGAAGCGTATGCTTCCTCTGTGGGCCCTCGAGAGGCCCCCCAAGCGCGGCTGCTGGGAAGTCACACCACAGCCCCAGCATGGCTGGCTTCTACCTGCGGGTTCTGCAGGCCACCGGGGGCCAGGTTTCTGGCCAGCCCTTGCTGCTGTTCCCCCTGGGGGAGACTGTCGAAGTCACAGCCTGGCCCCGGGACGACCAGCTTCTATTTCTATGCCACACAGGCCGTCAGAAGGGCATCGGTGCCCTCCAAACCCTTCTTTTGTCACCCCTCCCAGGCATGGCTGCTGCAAGTCACAGCCCAGGCCTGTGGTGGCCAGCTTCTATCACCAGGCCACACCGGGCATCGGAGGGGCGCCATTCCTCTCCGAGCCTTTGCTCTGCTGCTCCTTGGGTGTGGCTGCGGGAGGTAACATCAGAACACGTGGGTGAATTTCCCCCTAGTTGTCCAAAGCAAAAGCCACCAAACTGACCTCTTTCTAGTTCCAGAGTCACTCGCTAGGAGGAGGATGCAATCCACATGACAGCATCGGTCAAGTGAGTCTTCTTGTGTTCGAGGAGATGTGTCTCTGGTGGGTCTGCTGCTCAGGCACTGAATCCGTGCTGGGCATGGCCAAAGCTCCCAGGAGCTTGGAGGACAGCCAGCTGTGGCCAAGACCACGTTTGGACCGCCCCATTGATCTAGTTGAGGCCCAGCCCTGCTGCTGCCAGGTAGGGCTATACTGAGGAACAGTCAGAATGTTCTGGCCATCCGAGATGGAAGTTTCTCTCGCGTGTCTGAGTGGCCAGGTTGGATAGTCAAGTACTGCCCACAGACATGCAGAGTCCGCATCGTGGATGAGGAGAGAGCCTGCTTCTAGGGCCCGTTCCCATCCAGCCTGCCCACCTGGTGCATCCACCTTCTGGTGGGGCAGGGCTTTCAACTTTTCACTTGTAATTAAAATTCTAGAAAAAAACATCATCATATCTAACTACTGAAGCAATGAAAGTTACGGCTTCACGGACAACAGTAAATGCCCAGGTATGTAAAAATTAAGAGCTCGCACAACAAAAATGTAATAAAACTGCTCCAAAGAGCAAAGCAATAAAACTGGAAAAGAGACCATCACAATCGATGTAGAAAGGACTGCTATATAAAGTCATTATGTCCAAAGGTAACTTGATAACTGGTCAAAGGAGATGAACGTACGGTTTGCATGCAAGGAAACAGGAACAGTATTTAAGTCATTGCACGAGAGAAAGAAGATGAGACTAGGAGTCAGGAGGCCTGGGTCCATCCCCAGTTCTGGTACTAATGAGTCACAGGATGACGGCAATAATTATGGTGATGACAGGAGATGACCTTCACTGAGTGTGTGCCTTCGGGCCAGGCGTGGCATCACAGTTCCCATGATAACCTTAGGGGTAGTCCTGGGATCGCCCCTGTTTTACAGAGCTCGAAACAGAGGGCTGGCTCTGTATGAGAGGCTACCATTCCCGAACAAGAGGCATCACCTTATACTTGAGTCCTGGAGACGTCCCTGTTACGGGGGTGCCCTCAGCTATTTAATTCTGAAGAAAACAGTGCTGCTTGAGGACAAGACCTATTAGCCTGGAACAGACCCCAACCGATGCTAGTTTTGGACACACGTGGAAGTCACTGGAATGAACTGGTTCAAGAAAAATGGATGCAAAAGAAACGTAACCCAGATTCAGTACTTATTCCTAAGAGTATGACCTCACAATGACAAGTTATAGATGCTTCAAAAAAGTCTTTTAAAGGTCATTTGAAAAGGCAAACACATCAAGTGGTTATGTTGTAGGGCTACAGGACAAATTGAAGAAACCAACAATTGTCCTAATGTTATGTGACCAGGTACTTATGGCTTGGGAGGAAACTTCTAGCGAGAGCTTTGTGCAGGGATTGTCACAGTGCTACATGGCACACAGCTTGGATGAGTTGAAGCCATTGGATGTGCTTTGAAACTGTTGGATGACTCAAGAGGGGGCTGCGAGGTTGGGGAAGATGGTGAGGTCAGAGTTGCGTGTGAGGCTTTAGGATAAAATGATCTTGTGGAACGGAGTGAGGGAAAACAGGCGGCTTTTCTAAATTAATATATTATTCTATGTAGTATGTGATTTACAATATGCATGTATAACTGAATTAATAAATTAAATATTATAAGACATTTGAGTATTCTATTTACATCCCTAAAAATTTATAAATTCAAGTAGGCCAAACGACTCTGGGGCTTTGTTCTCTCCAGGAGAGCTGGGGTCCCGTCACACGGAGGCCGTCATTGAGTCGCCCCTGAGGGAGCGGCCTGGAGAAGAGGTCCTGCGAGCCCCTTCACCCCCGCAGGCAGGTGTCTCTTCTCTCCTTCTCCTGCTTCAAGGCCGGTGGATGTCAAATACCTTGAGGGTACTTCCTGCCAGTTAAACGAGTCAAAATAAATTAGAATGTCGTAGAAGCAACTCTCAACAGGCAAAATGGGAAACGTGTGCACTTATAAATTGCTGGTGACGGTATAAATTGGGTTCAACCTTCCGGACGAGAACAGACATAAGTGCTACAAAACTGGTCATCTCCTTTGACTCTGCCCTCCCCTCTAGGGACTCGCCCCCCGCGGGAAGCCGCCGCCGGCCTTGGGGCCGTGGGGCCGTGGGCCTCGGGGCCTCGTCTAGTCATGGTGGGTTGGCTGATGCTTCTGCAGTGCCGCCCGCCTCTTGAACACGCGGCCACACTCGCTGCACTCGCAGCGTCTCGCTCCGCTGTGGGTCCTCCGGTGGCGACTCAGGCCAGAGCTCCGCCGGAAGGCCTTCCCGCATTTGTCACACTCGTAGGGTTTCAGTCCGCTGTGGATCCGCCGGTGCTTGATCAGGTCGGAGGGCCCCCGGAAAGCCTTGCCGCAGTCGCCACAGCCATAGGGCCGCTCCCCGGTGTGGATGCGCTGGTGCTCCAGGAGGCTGGAGCTCTGCCGGAAGGCCTTGCCGCACTGGCCACACTCGTAGGGCTTCTCGCCCGTGTGGATCCGGCGGTGCTTGGTGAGCTCCGAGCTCCTCCGGAAGAGCTTGCCGCAGTGGGGACACCCGTAGGGCTTGGCCCCGCTGTGGATGCGCTGGTGTTCGGCCAGGCCGTTGACACCCCGAAAGGACTTGCCGCAGTCGTCACAGTCGAAGGGCAGGTGGCCGGTGTGCACGCGCTGGTGCTTGAGGAGCTCCTGGCGATCCAGGAACTCCCTGCCGCATGCCTTGCAGGCGAACGGCTTTTCGGAAGTGTGGAGCTTCTGATGGCGAAAGAGGTGGGTGCTCACCTTGAAGGACCGCCCACACTCCTCGCAGTCAAACGGCTTCTCTCTGCTGTGGACGCGCAGGTGCTGACTGAGGCCCGCGTTCTTCTTGAATCTCTTCCCACATTCCTCACACTCGAAGGGCTTCGCCTCCCTCTCCATTTGCTCCCTTTCCTCCATGGCATCTTCCGGCGCTCGGCTGGGACCCGGCTGGGGCTCTGCAGCCACGTGGCTCTTCCGGTGCTCGTTGAACTCAGAGACGCCCCTGAAGACCCTCCCGCAATCGCCACACTCCCAGCCCTTCTCCTCGCTGTGAATTCTCTGGTGCTGCACAAGGAGGACCTTGAGCCGAAAAGCATCCCCACACTCCTTACATGCAAAGTGATGTTCTATGGGCAGGTTCTGGGGGCTCCCCCCACTCCCCTCCAAGTCTCTGCTCTGTTTGACCTCAGGGCTGGGTGCACCGGCCATCGGGGAGCTGGTGGATGCCATCTCCTGGGGCTGAGCGTCTTCACCCATTCTCTGCTGTTGTGTCACCAAGATGCTTTTGGAGACGGGCACCGCAAGACACTGTACTCTGCAGAGGAGGAGGGAAGGAGGTTACTTTCCTTGGTCAACAATCACCTTCCTCCTGAGACAGCTGCTGAGCACAGGGCCCAGAGACCACGCAGCAAGGTGGCCAGTGCCCATCCAACCAGAAGCAAGGACTACAGAGGAAAGGGGCAGAAAGGTGTCACTGCTGGACGCCCCCTACCAAAGGGGTGCTGAGGAGGTCTCCCCTCCTGTGACTGAGAAGCAGCCACACCCCCTCCCCAAAGGCTCGGCGGGGGCCTCCTCCACAGTTTCTTCGCACTTTCCAGGGTTCTTTTGCACTCGGCGGAATGCTTACCTCAGTCTGTGTTCAGGGATGGCTCAGATGCCAGCACCACGTGGCCTTGTACCAGGTGAGGAGCCAGGCGGCAATCAAAACAGGAACTCCTGCTGGCGGAAAAGGAAAAGGGTTTTGGTGGCAGCCAAAGATGCCATCAGAACACAGCCGGGTGGGGGGGGGGGAGCGGGGCGCATGGCCTTCAAAGTCAAAACTCTTTTAATCCACCAAGCATACGTAGCTTGGCTGTGCCCTCAGGCAACTCATTCATCCCTGCCCTTTCCCAAGGGCTGGCTCCCGCCAGAGACTGGATGAGGCAGAGTCTGGGCCCACCTGGGTGGAGTGCCAGGGACTTGTTGTGAAGAGCTGGTCCTCCCTTTCTGCCTGTTCACACTCCTCAGTGCCTGCAAACGGAAAGTCCTACTGTTCCACGACTCCCAAACTGACTCAGCAGTCTCGCCCCTCCCACCATGTGCAGCCCTCAACAGGGCATAGGGCCTTGCCGTGCCAATCTCTCTCTCAACAACAAACTGTAATAAAATGGCCATTCAGGGGCGCCTGGGTGGCGCAGTCGGTTAAGCGTCCGACTTCAGCCAGGTCACGATCTCACGGTCCGTGAGTTCGAGCCCTGCGTCGGGCTCTGGGCTGATGGCTCAGAGCCTGGAGCCTGTTTCCAATTCTGTGTCTCCCTCTCTCTCTGCCCCTCCCTCGTTCATGCTCTGTCTCTCTCTGTCCCAAAAATAAATAAAAAACGTTGAAAAAAAAATTTAAAATGGCCATTCAGTTTTTGTGCAATTTAGGATTAAAAAAAAAAGTTTTCCAAATGATAGTGGCCACCTTGTTCTAATTTCTTTCCCAGTAACAACTTGAGGAGGCTTCTTTCCATGCCCTTAGGAGTTGGGAGGGGGCCCTGCCAATTTGAAATGGTGAGGGTTGGCAGACCCTTTGCGTTTTCTTACAGCTGATCCCTAGGGTAGGGGGGCATAAGCCCCCAGAAGGCAAGGTTGTGCAGGGGTAATCCAGGTGCTCCTCAACCCTCACTCGGCTGCACAGGACCACGAAGCTGTGGGGAAGCTGGTGGAGGGCCGGGGGCATCCTTACCCACGGAGTTCACATTCCTGTAGTATGCCAGTGTCCTCTGCTCAGCGTCCAGTCTCAGGCACTCCTTTTTTGTGAGGTACTGGGCCACGTCATCAAATGTCACTGAATCCTGTAAGAATTCCCAGGGATAAGCAGTCCTTCTGTGCATTCTAGAATGAGGCAGGGGCAGCACTAGTAACAGCAGGGATAAGAGGTGAGGGTCCGGAGTAGATGTGCATCGCTAGCGTGGAGATCTAAGCACAAGCGTCAAGAAATCCTGGAAAGAGAATCTAACCAAGCACCAGAAGACCTGGGCCATGGCCTTCGCTTTGGCCTCCCACTGTCTTCCCAAGAGACCCCAGTTCAATCACTTTCCTGGATTGAAATGCAGCTCCCGCACCAGCATAATGGGAATTACAAGCCCAGCAGGTACCCGTTTCTTGGTAGACTCTGAGGAGGACAGCAGAGGGATGGAAGGCAGCAGCAGGGGTTCAAGTCCTGTAGTGTGTCATGCTGGGAAAAGAGGTAGAGGCTAAGGCAGACTCAGGGAGCAGTGACAGTTTCCCAAGCCAGGCAGGGGGAAGCACAGCTCACCTGGGCCTCAAGGATCTCAAGAGGGCCTGCCAGGATCTGGTTTCCTGGGGGTCCATCCTGGGGAAGGGCAAGACCCTGGGGGGGCAGGCCGAGCTAAGGAAAGTGAAAAGAGCCATGAGTGACAATAGCCCTGTCTCTGGGTCACCTAGGACAAGACTAGTGATTTCCTTTTCTCTGGTTTTAAATCTTATTCAGTCTTCTCTTGCACAGCAGCTGAGTGACAAGCTGGAGCCACAGGTATGCCTAAGAAAACAGACCCCAAACAGTGGAGAAAACAGGCTAGCAGAGAATACAGGCAGGCCAGAGAGAACCCAAACAAAACGAATGAATGTTGGCCCAGGAACAGCCCAGAGAATATAGACACAGATGCAGAACGAATGGTAGCGAGACTGACTCTCAGAGACAGGCCGGCCGCAGGTTTCCTTAGCAGCCAGCCTCAAAGAGGTCAGTGCTCACACTGCCCAGGAACGAAGCTTCCCCAAAAGAATATCAGAAGAACTAACTAAGTGAGAAGTGAGAGACCTTTCCAACTTTGTAGGGGCAACAGAAAAACCAGATTGGGCCACTGGAGGCAAGAGAAGCTATGTCTTCTTGACCAGAAGCAAGGCCCTTTAGAGGCCATACCCCATTCAACTGAAACAATGAACCAGGTGACAGCGAGAGAGATGCAGACCAGACCATTTCTGTGGTATGTCTGACAAAATGAAAAGTTGAACAAAATTGCTGGAAAAAAAGAAGCTGCAAAGAAAAGATCTTCAAATACCAAGCTGCTAAATAAAAGATCTGAACGATATGTACAATTTACCTTTTTCTCCCAGGTTGCAAAATATGTGAAATATTGTAATTAAGATACCACAAACGTGTATGCATCATAGGCCTCCCATTTCAGTGAGTTCAAAGAAACAGGATTATGGTTTCTGTTCTGATATCAAGTCAATTCAATTCAATCCAGACCTGACTGAGAAGGAGGCATTTTTCCAGTAGCTCACGGAGTAGAAAACCCAGATACTCCAGAAAGACTTTTGCATAAAATTAGATATTATATTAAAAGGGATAGACAGAGACTTCCACTTCTGGTCATGATAGAGTAACAAGGAACAAATGATGTCCTGCCATAAACAGGTAGACAACTGGACAAAATAGCTGTGAAACAAGTTTTCAGACATTGGACAGCAGGAAGTGCTGGATCATGATCCCAACAGAAGAAACACAATGGAGATGAGCCTTATCATTGCCCCGGCTCTGCCTAGAGGCAACTGCCAGACTGAGAGTGTAGGGAAGGGGGGGACTCAAACAGAGCTTGGTGGCTCCATCAAGACACAGACTAGCATTTGGGGCAGCTGATGCAGCTAGAGGCGGCAGAACACAGTTCCAGAAAGGAGGGAGCTATGCAGGAAAAACGAGCTCCAAAAAATCAGCAGAAGGCTCCCCTTGAACTTTTCCTAACATGCGTGCATAATAAAACTCCCAAAGACTAGGAAAAGAATGACCAGGAAGCTTTAAGCTGAACAATTTCCAGGACACACAAAGGTAGGGAGATGTTCAGTATCCAACCAGCCAGGGTAGAGAGTCCTCCGTGATCACCGAGGGCATTCAGTATAGAATCAGAGGGGCCAGGCCTTGTAGTACGACTGACTGACCCCTGGAGTCACAGCTACCCTGAACCTGCTCTAGAAAAGCTTAGAAATAAGCTTCAACGTGATGAAGCTGTTCCATAAATAACTACCTCCCAAAAAGGAAGTCCAACACTTCTCAAAGTGAAACAACAAAATCTAGACACTCAACAATATAATCTCTATGATGTCCAACATCCAAGAAAAAAATTACTGAAATGCCAAGAAGCAGGAAAATGTGACCCATGGCAAGGAAAATCATGTCAATAGGAAACACTCAAAAATGAAACTTACAGACAAGGATAACAGCTAGTTTAACTATGGATAAGTATTGAAAGAAAAACAGAAACATAATGAAAAAAATGGGCAATATAAACAAGATCCAAATGGGACTTCTGGAGGTGAAAACTATGATAGTTAAAATAAAAATTTCACTGGATGTGATTAACAGCAGATTAGACAATGAATCCCCTCCTCTCCAATATTAGAAAACTTGAGGACATAGCAATAGGAACTATCCCAAGTGAAGATCAGAAAGAAAAAAAAGATATTTAAAAAACAGTCTCAGTGACCTGGGATAACAGAAAAGCACCTAACACATATGTGATTGGAATCTGAGATGAGGAAAAGAGGGAAAAGGATAAAAATATAGTTGAAAAAATGATGGCTGGAATTTTTCCCTCAAATTTGATGAGAACCAATCCCTATGCAGACTAAACACACAAACAACAAAACCAAAAAAACCACACACACACACCAAAACACACCATAATGAAATTGCTGAAAACTAGTGTGATAAAGAGAAAATCTTAGAGCAGCTGTGGGGGGTGGGGGGTGGGGACGACCTGTTCTTTACAGGGGCACAAAGAGTAACTTCTTATCAGAAAATCTGCAAGCCATCAAACAACTGAATGACATTTTTAAAGTGCTAAAGGAAAAAAAAAAAAAAACCCTGCCAACCTAGAATCCTATATTCATGGAAAATACCCTTTAAAAATGAAGGCAAATAAAATCTTTTGAGACAAAACGCTGAGAGAATTGGTCACCAGCAGACCTGTACTATGAGACATATTTTTAAAAAATGTTTTTATTTAATTTTGAGAGAGAGAGAGAGAGAGAGCGAGCACGTGAGCAGGGGAAGGGCAGAGAAGTGGGGGTGGAGGGTGAGGGGTGAGGGGTGTGGGATGTGGGGAGGGGACAGAGGATCTGAAGCAGGCTCTGCGCTGACAGCAGAGACCCCGATGTGGGGCTTGAACTCACAAACCATGAGATCTTGACCTGAGCTGAAGTCAGGTGCTTAAACCGACTGAGCCACCCAGGCGCCCCTGTACTATGAGACATATTAAAGAAAGTTGTTCAGGTGAAGGAAAATGATACCAGATGGAAACCTGGATCTACTCAAAGGAATGAAGAAGAACAGGAATGTAAATATGTGAGGAAGTAGAAAACACTTCTACCTCATTTATTTTTATTTATATATATTTATTTACTTTTTAAAAGTTTATTTATTTTGAGAAAGCAAGCAAGCAGGGCAGGGGCAGAGGGAGAGGGGAGAGACAGAATTCCCAGCAGGCTCTGCACTGTTGGTGCAGAACCCAGTGCAGGGCTTGAACTCATGAACTGTGAGATCATGACCTGACCAAAACCAAGAGTTGGACGCTTAACTGACTGGGTCACCCAGGGACCCCCCACTACTTTATTTTTAAATCTTTAAAAAAAAATAACTGATCATTTAAAACAATAATAATATTAAGGTAGTGTGGGGTTTTATAACATATGTGTAAGTAAAACATATGATTGTGTGTTTTAGGAAGCCCTCCAAGACTCTCATGCATGCTAATAAGCCAGTAGTGAAGATAAAATACAATTCTAAAAAAAAAAAAAATCCAAAAGAAGAAAGGTAAAGAAACAAAGGAAAAAGAACAGATGGGACAAAAAGAAACAAACAACAGGATGGCAAACTTAAATCCAAGCACATGGATAATTAAGTTAAATGTAAATGGACTAAACACTCCAATTGAAAGGCAGAGGTTATTAGACTGCATTAAAAAAACAATACTCAACTTTATGATGTCTATAAGAAGCTTTACATATAAAGGCCTTAAATGTAAAGACATAAATAGGTGAAAAATAAAACGATGGAAAACAATATACTATGGGTCTAAATAATCCCAAGGACCAAAATAAGAAGAGAGGGTGAATGGTGAATGTGGTGCAGTGTTCAGGAGACCTTACTGAAGAGTCCTAGAACTCAGAGCAGGAAGAAAACTGGAGATCTTGAACATAAAATCAACAAGTGGTAGAAAACAAGAAAAAAAATGCAAAAAAAATCAACAGGTGGCCAATATGGATGACATGCAGATTACAAAAATGCAAATCCTTCATAGAAGATGTAGACCGACAGTAACTGTTTATTAAAAACTCCAAAGAGCGTAGGGGAAGGGGAGTGACTTGCTAAGTATATATTTGCATTTTAGGAGAAAAAAAGGAATAAACAGAGTGACTTGTAGCTGAAACGAGCACACCTATACTGTAACATGTGCCACACTGGAGAAGAGTCTGGGTTTAGAATGGTCTTCTGCTTTCTGTTTCTGCAACATGTGAATTTTTAGTGACCAAGCTGTATTTCTTTGGTAATAAGAAAAGAATAACAATTTTAAAAGATTTGGGTAGACTTTAGATAAGAAAGATGCTCAGCATGCAAGAGGGCAGGGCTAAGGCCAGAGAGACAATGGGGAATGGCCCTGGGAGCTGAGCAACATCCTGAGATACTGACATGGTCAAGGTAGATACAGGGGAAAAGGCTGCTAGGAATGTGTGGGCAGTTCCAGAAAGCTTAGAGATAGGACCATGGGATTGGGACTTCCTGGGCTCATCTCCCCAGGTTCTCAGTGCCATGCACGGGTGAGAGCAGAAGGCCTCATTTGGTCTAAATGTCCACAGAAGCCCCATTCCCATCTTTAACCCACTGCCCAGCACGGGTGGCTCCTTGGTGTGTGAGTGAAGCCCTAGGTACCCAGCAGCCAAGCCCTCCATGTCCCACTGTCACCTGGGTAGGGCCCCCTCTGGACAGTTGGATTCTTCCTGGTATATATTTGATGTCTGGTTTGACTTTGACTTCCAATACAAAACAAACTGGTCAGAGATTACTTATATAATTCATTGAAAAAGTTCACTTCCATTGACATTGAGCTTTTGCTCACAAGTGGAATGGACAGAATAGCTCACATTTACCTTCTGAGAAAGATGGCCTGTTATAAACTTGTCTCACTGTCCTCAAGCCAAAGACCTAAGGCCTTAACTCCTTAAAAAGACCCTGGCCCAGGCCACCAGGCCCATATCCTTCATCCCGCATCTTAGTCATTCCTTCCAGACACTCTGGCATTCATTCTGTCCTAAATATGCCAAGGTGATGCCCCTCAGGGCTCTGAGCATGCCACAGGAGGTTCCTTCTAAGAATTTAGGCCTCATTCAAGTGTC